AGACTATGGTGAAGAAACGGAAGAGGTGTTAATCGATAGTCAAAAAAGTGCAGCCGGTGATGATTTAGCTGAATGAAGCGGGACTATCGATTACATTTATTTTAAATTTTTTTTTTTCATGTATTATTTCTGATAATTAATATATAACGATAATAAATTTAAATCGAATTTTCTATATATAATAATTTTCTGAATTTAGTATGATTTAGTTCTGATTTATGTCCAATTTAAGTTCCGAAGTACATCTGATTGACTGTACGAATTTAGTATGATTTAGTTCTGATTTATGTCCGATTTAAGTTCCGAAGTACATCTGATTGGCAGTCAATCGGATAACAATCGGAATATATTTTTTTGTAAAAATCGGACATATTTCAGCCATAATTTGACCTAAAATCGGATATCTGATTTTTAGCCGATTTGCCTTATTTCGACTAGTGACACTAGCATAACAGACTGTTGATAGCTTTGCTCAATGAGCGTTATCTTAGGACAGAATTTACTTTCAGTCGGAGACGCAAACAAGTACCACGAGCTATATTATTATGTATTACTGTGGTCATCTGGAGACGTTGAAGAAAAGACGCATCATAAAGTATTAGTCTACTTAGTACCCTCTAGTTCTGACGCAGTGGGATCTTTTCTAGACCACAGGAAATAATAAGGATATCAGATTCCCATTCATAGACGGGATTATCTCTTTCCGAGAATGCAAATAGTTTGCCGATAGAGTTCTAAGTGATAGTGTAACTGGAGGTTATCCCCTTCCTTCTCGACTTCCTTATCTGAATCCCATACATCTTGCGTAGGATAGAGTTTATGAAAGTCAGACTCCTCTTGATGAATAGTCCCCTGTCTTTTTCTCTACTAAGGGAATCCACATTTACCTTTCTTACCTCAAACTCGTACAAGAACTTGTCCATGTGTTTCTTAATGGCGGGCAGCGACTCACGTATATTCTTTTCCAGCAGGTCATCTTGGATACTATTTTTGTCTCATATACATTGAAAACCGCACCTACGTAGGAGTCCAATAGCAAGACAATGGGACTGGTATGCATATGTTTTTCGCTCATTCACCAGGTCATGTCCTTCCTTAGCATTGCTAACGGTATCTGAGGAAGAAGCATCACCATTCCATCCCCAGTATATCTGTGTACCTCTTAAGCTCATGATCTCGCATTTTTAGGAGTGCCTCGTCTACTGTTTTTCCACGGGTTATATTCTCCAGGTTAGTAAAAACTTGTTTGACAGCTGGTTTGGAATAGTTTTTGACGAACTCTGGAGAAATTTCTTCTCCGAAGTCATAGAAGTTAAGTAAGTTGAATTTTTTGAAGGAATTCTTTTCCTGAACAGTCACGTCCTCTTCATTTTCAAGCCGTTCATAGATGTCGAAGGCATGGACATCAGTTATTTTTGGAGACGAGGCCACAGCCTCACAATGGGCATTTTCCAGGTCAGTCTTAATCATCCGGAAAGAGGTTTGGTGGGCTTTGACATCATCAGGATCATGTGTGGGCAACACATTTACTCTAGCCCCAGTATAAGCAACAAGGTCCACGAATCTATACATGAAATCATTTTTTGACAAGTTCTTAACACGCTCGTTCTCTAGCCATAGATGGAAATAATCAGACTTGTAGAAATGAATCCCCCATTCACGGTATGCTCAAACTGTAATGCCACATCAGAAACGGTCTGATACAGTCCAGTGCGTTTATCATGCAACTGCTGAGAAATCGCATCGGTGGTGACAGGCAGAGAATGACACGTATTTACCAGCCTAAAACAAATAAAGTGTTCACGAGTACTAAGGTTACGAACCCGTGCTAACATCTGACGACAAGTCTCAACGTCGCAGGAATTGTCGGTGAAACAGGCGAAAATAGCATCGAAGTGTACGGATTCAAAACTAATATCAGCAGAGACAGTGGGAGTATAAATAAGGACATCAAGTTCGCTCCAGTAGGTGTGGATGTCACCAAAGTGTTCTTTCTTTTTCGAAGGGAGGGTCTCATTGCTATATAGCTCTATTTTTTTACCAGAGAACCGACTGCGTAGTAATTCTTCGATAGCCTTGGCATCCTTAAGACAATTCATGGGAATAACTATTTTTTGCCCACTGCTGAGGGCCTTCAAAATAGATCCTATCCAGTCACCGAAAATAGTAGTAAAAAAGAACTGGTCGTCTCGTGCGAGAGAAAACTGGTTCCAGTGCAGATGCATAGGCTTACCTCTCATCAGCTGTAAGGTGTTGTGAGTGTGAAGGTCCAGGTTGGCATCCATACAGATCACATGCCGTGCTGTTTGTAGCATCCACCTAAAAGCAGCAAACGCTGAACTGAAGTGTTTATGGAGTCCACTACTGAACTGAGCGAGAGTAGACTCGACTTCATCAATAACAAGCAAATCAATAGGCTCGTAATTGGAAGGAATAGAAATCTGGTGTAGAGACTCAACCTGTACAATAACACAAGAGAACTTGGTCTGATTGATCTCACAGGTGGAAATGTCTTTGTACGAAGTAAAATCGGGGAACAATTGTTAGAGAGACTGGGTAAAGGTTTGTCTAAAAGTGACAAATCGAATAACGGGATTTTTTCCAGTGTTGCATGGGAAATAGTTGTCAAGATAACGTCAAAGAGTCTTAGTTTTGCCTAGGCCCATGTGACCCCTGATCAGCAAAGTGTGGACAAGCTCATAATTTCGCATAGAGTCCTGAGAGTAGATATTTTTATTCTCTTCTGGAATAAAATAACTGACAGACGTGTCAACAGTATGTTTAGGATCGATACTTTGTCTTGGATGCCTCAGACACGTGTAGACAAAAGTACTTGCCTAGAATTGCTGGGAGCATTGGGAGACGGTTTATGCTGCTCCATTGAAATGGGAATGTAACTATTAGCTGTACTGTTCTTAGGGATATCCATGTAGCTTTTGTGATCGAAAAGTATTATCCTAAAAAATCGCATTACTTCAAAAGGGTGAAAAAATTGCGATGACAGAGAGAAGGAAAAAAAGAAAATGCGTGTATTCTACCTGTGAAATTAACATCTCTCTATTTATAGTGTCAGGGTCTCACTGGATAGAAGTTAATCAATGTGTCCCATTGATATTCGTATTCCATTTCTTTACTAATTATGTATGCGGAAATATCATATAACACGTAATAATTACCATAAAAGTAACAAAAAACGTTTGTTAAATTATTATTAACTAGTTTGTAATGTGCTCCTAGCAAGACTCCTATAATTGCAGTAATATATAATACCTTCTACCATGTCATTAATTCTCCAATAATGTGCCAGTTGCCCCACCCTTTGGGTACGAAGTAGAAACCTATGTTCCTAATGTTATTACAATTTTTTTGTGAACAAAGAGGGAAAGAACAGTAAAGAATAATTGGTAAAGATAACGATGGACAGGAATCCACAACAGTATTGAAACGGCTAGTATGGCAAAAGAAAATGTCTGAAATAATAAATATACGTACCTAAAGAAATCTCTTCGGAATGTAAGAAAATTGTTTGTTATCAACGTAACCTTATTCTAGTACTTCATTTGTGTTAAAGACAGGATTAAAGATATTTATGTACTAATAATTGTTATCAGGCTATTAGTAATTCGGACTCCATTATTCCATTCGTTTATATGTCACTATAGGTAGCCGAAATTTCTGTGAAAGTCACGTGATTAAAATCGTGAATTTTATTCACAATTTTGATAAAACCTATGTGAACCAGTTCGTCGATTAATTTTATTGATTACCAATCTCCACAAGTGTACCTTATTACCTTCCGTTACAAATAAACAGTAATCGAATTATGCGAACTGGTTTCATCGAATCTTGTTATTAGTTACTTACCATAGAAACATCTCATTTTTTGTGAAACCACTAAGAAACTTTATCAATCGTACCAAATTTTGTCATAATGTGTTAATGTTGAATGTCACAAGTAATATAATCAAATACATGAAAATAACAATAATAGATAGGAATCAATAACGACGCTAGTAGCAAATTATGATAATCAATGTGGTAAATACGATTACTTAATTTCGTAACTTTGATGGAATACTCTGTGGATAAATACTTAGTACGCCACTAAGATAAATAATACAACTGTTTTGCTGAATGTTATTACATAAATCGATAGAGAATGGGTGTTTAAAAGAAGAATTAACAAAAACTTTTCCAGTACTCGTGATGACAGATCGGCAATAATTTATTCAGGTAGGACTCTGTAATACATAATTGTTGGAGGAATGAGACACTTTTATTGATAAATACCTTGAGATTGGACACGTGACATCGATACCTAAGGGTCCTATGTCATGTGCTCAATAATATATACTCCAATGGGAAATCTTAACGTGTTCCAGGAGGTATACGCTACTTATCCTGTTTCCCCTCTTACGTCACACACTGATTTATTTGTTTATGCTTCGATGATCAAATAAACTATACACATTTTCTTTCTTCTTTCTTCCTTTTTCCTTTTATCCTCTTTCTAAGTAAAATTTTTGAGATGTATAAAGGTATGAAGTAATGTAATTATTAATTTTTATTAAGCTATTTTAGTACTGGAGTTTTATAAGAGTTTTTGCTATAAAAATTAGTGCCGCGTTTATTTCTTTAACTTTATAATATAACTACAACAGCTTATTCAAAGCGAACACGTTCTTAAAGGTTAAGTAAAGTTATTCTGCAGGTATGAGACTATTCAAATATTAATTTTCATCAAAGTTAGTTTGAATATTCGTAAACTACTTATTTTTTTGTAATATTTTATATATGCAGATACTTTGTCACGTAATTTAAACACTTTGGTTAAATAAACTAATTTTTGTTGAATAAAAAAAGTTGTTTAATGGATATAAAAGTATTCATATATTATGTTAGAGTTAGTATTTATAGAGTTAACCAACGCTTTTTGTAATGAAATTTACCGTGTACATGAACATTTGTTTGTTTATTAGTAAAATTTAATAAAGAACAAATAAAATAAATAAAATTATAAACTGAAAAGACTGAAATATAACATATTAAGTGTTAAACAAATTTTTTCTTTCTTGCTGTATGTGAAATTAAATTTTTTCACTCTTGTTTTTTTTTCACGAAACAAAATATTTTCTAAGACAAAGTTGCACAAGGTTTGTGGCTATGATTATTGAGCCAATCATATTTAAGACAAAAGGGGAACAGGATAATATCGTATACCCGGGGTACACGTTAAGGATCCCCTACTCCAATTGTTCAGGGTGTCATGTGCAGGGATATGGAATATTGACTGCGGAACAAGATATTAGTGGATAACGGGATATTGACAAACAGGGTGCTATTCTTCTAAGAATACTTTTATACATCATTGTCAAAGTGGCATCATAACAGTATATATTCAATTTCCGGCTGCTGTGGAAGAGTGTAGAGGTAACAGTGCCTACAAAAAAAATATACTTATCTTCTGCATTAATACAAGATAACAGTAAATATGTATTGATTAATGTCAATTTCCATTATTGTTACCGCAGAAATATCATGTTGACATACTGAACATTTGTGTAGAGTGTCACGTGACTGGTAGTGAAAATATATTCTGCAGTAGCACAGTTATACTGATTTGATTGTGTTCTAAACAAAAAATGGGGACTTAGTTCACAGTCTTGTTCCTCGGAAATCAGTCAAAGACCGCTCGAAGAGCACTTTTTTGAAGGTTATAATAGACTAAAGATTTTTTGTATACAATGACCACCTTTTCGTTCAATCATGCCTTATTCGCAACGTATAATTGATAGTTATCGACAACAAATATTTTATGTCAATAAAACATCCTTACTGGGACTTTCTTGTTTTTTCATATCCATTCTTTAACCATAAAAAAATTCTATCGCCTTAGATGAATAATAGACAAAGATATACCAAAATCTTCAAAGTTTTCTCCAAATGAAGGATAATATCTACTTCGTACTCTCTAAGTAGGACACGCCGATTAAGGATCCGAATTTACACTGCTTCTCGGACTAATCTAAATCGCCACGAAGAACTAAATGTTCGTCGGGCTTCCCTAATCTCATCACGATAAACTTGGTGTAGTCATCTGTGTAAAATACGTGCCAAAAATGCTTTAGTGGGTTTATCAGTTTTTTTGTTATATACCGAAAATCAATAACGGCTATCTCATTAAAAGGAATTGTGTTATACCTACCATTCGGTCCAAAACGAGCCGCATGTTCTGACATGTCAGTTCCCTCTCTCAGAATTTCTACCCCCCACTGCAATTCTCCATTTACATAGAAATCTAGGTACGCATTAGTTCCATACAAGCCTCCGACGTTTGAACTAATTGTTACATCATCAGGTAATACTGTGTTAGCGGACCTATACCATTCATTTTGCCACATCTGCTCGACTAAACGAGAGTCAAATTTGTCAGAAGCTTTGCTTAAAGAACTCTTTAAAACGGAAGACCTCATCCTTTCTAGGCTACGTAATAAGAATTCTTCGAAAGAACCGTCATCCAATAAGTGGTAACGTTTGTCGTAAGGAACACTATACAGATAAATGCCTAGTACACTTCGCATCAGCGGAGCGGTAAATTGAAACCTGTTTTTAGTTTGGACGATAAGACCGGAATGAATATATTTATTAACGATGGGAGAAGCGTTCGGAATGTCCATGTCTACGTAAAACGTTGAGTTTTATCACACCTATTTAGTGCATTACGCAGGAAACGACTTTCTTTGTTTGATGGATTCCAATCACGCAGCCAAATGAATGATCGTGTACTTGTTAAGAAATTTCGGAAATCAGCTGATATGAAATATTTTAATAACTCAGGAGTAGTTTGCACTCCATTCCGATATTGTTCTTTCACTCGGTTCAAAGTCCCCCTCATAATCCCAGCGTGACCTCTAGACATATTGTACATTACATTTTTTATGTTTCCCTCTATTTCGAAATGCATCTCACGTTGTGTTGCGGTGATAAATTTTTCTAGAAGCACTGAATACTCAGCTCGGCTTAGACGCAAATGGTCCAAACCTAGTGTTACTGAAAATGTTATGGGGGTAGAAATACCGTCCAAAGGTTTTGGCATACCATACATACTTAAAAGTAAAATACGAACTGGGGCATTGTTGGATGCACGAGAGGAATTCATTATCGCTTTTATGGTATTCCAGAAGAATTTTGCATATGGTATATCATTTGGGCCTCGTCTATTAAAATAGTAATTGGTTTAATGCTGCTAATACATTCTCTCCAAGATTTCCCAGTTTGTTGGATCCAGTACTGATCAAACAAATCGGGATCTGATAAGGATACTTCAGGACGTTCCAACAAAAGCATAGAAATAGCAATTACTTCCTCTTCAGGGTTAAGATTTTGCCGATACTTTTTCAGTATATATGCTAGTGTAGTTTTCCCAGAAGATGGCGGGCTACGTAAAAGAACGACACGTCCTCTCGTCAAAGCTTGATCTATAAATCCAAGCCGTTCTTCGGAAATAAAGGCAAACGCATCAGCTCCCTCATACGAAGTATCTTCAGTAGTTAGTTCTTTACCCATTGCAATATTAAGTCTTCTGAAATTCGTTGTAAGTTCATCATCAATAGAAGTATGAGATGGAACCCGTGGGAGTTCTATTATAACATGGATGACTTGTTCAGATGGTGTTTCAGGCCAATAGAATCCTATTTTTCGTGTTGCTCTCATTTTTTTAGTGCTTTTGTGACTACGGAATTCATGAATCACATCATCATTGTCATCCGGAAGGTCTACTTGCCATAATGTAATATTATTAAAATCGATATTAGCGAGATCGTTTGGTTTACTTTCTCTGATTTTTTGTTTAAGTACGCCAACCGACAGCTCCTGGCTAATGTCTATCGGAAAGGCATAATTGTCAGCAGGAAGGTTTCCTTCAATTAAACAGAAAAGGGTAATGATCATAGCGAGTAAATAATATATGTGCCATAATTCAATTATGGTATATCTGTCATACACTAGTGTTAAGGAGCCAATATTTCGTTCAAACAATCACCCTATGAGGTCGTACATGTATATGTTGATAGAGTAGACTGCCATACGAAATTGTAACCGCTAGGAAATTTCTTAACTCTAGTTTAAGTCCGAAGATATTATGACAACAAGTATGTGGAATGTCCCACATAGTAGTATAATAGATTCCTTTTTTACATGCCATCGCACCTAACTTTTCATAAACGATTATTAATTTACTGGGTTAGAGAGACAGAAATGATTACCAAAATTAATGCTTATCTTCGGTATTAAGATAAAATGCCTATGTAGTATACCAAAATAACTCGGTCAATATGCGGATTACTTGTTAATTTACCGCAGAAATATCATGTGACACTCTGAACATCTGTGTAGAGCGTCACATGACATGTGACACAAAAGATTCTGCGGTTATGTGGCGTAGTAACACGTAATTAGATTGTGAACTGAGCCACGGTCTCTCACATGACTTTTGAGACTGGGTTGTAACTAATTTTGCCTTGGTAGATAACTAACGACAAAATCATGTGCCCTTCGGGCTGATTCCTATGATCGATAATGTTATAAGGTAAAGACAGAAATCGACAAGATTAATAACAAAAATCGAGTGCAGAGATAGGCGTGTTACCTGTTACAGGAATTATTCAGAACAGTAGATCAAGTTTCGTGCCAGCTTTACGTTATCACGGGTGGAAAAAAATAAAATTATTCTGTCATATAACGAAGTGTAGTACCATAAAAGTACTGTGCATCTCTAAATTTTCTTCGTTCCCTAAGTTATTTTTTGTATATGTCTTGACTACTTCACTCCGAAGATCCAACGATAAAGCATAATTTACACCTGTTCAACTGTTATCGATAACAAAGATTTCCATATACTGTATATGCTATAAAGAACATAGTAATTTGAGCTAAACTAGCATGGACTGCGATTTTTTTCGAAAAACAGTTTCCTTGGGAAACAATCAGAGTTACGTGATTTTAATGATCAAAATTAGTTCTGCTGTGAGTAATACGGGTTAGTCTATTTTTTATACTAAATCTTTGTTCTTAGGGTAGTTCATTCATTTTTAAAAACTTGATTTATTATCTGTATTAGTTTGATTACAAAAAATGAAGAGGGAGAAAAATAACAGTATTGCGCAGCAGGATTGTCTTACGAAATTATAACTCAAGATAACCATTGACTTGTTTCAAGAGAAGATTCTTAACAGTCAAGGGGGTCTTTGTTGATCCATCTGTGTACGGGAAATGTGTATTTACTTATTTCAAAGAAATCGGAATATGTTATTAATTAATATCTCCTTAAATATCTTCAAGATTATTCAGGCAAAGATCAACATTCCGTTTTTTGAAGTCGTCGTAATCGACTAAATATTTGATAAACCATAACACTACCATGGAATGATGTTCAGACGAGTGTTTATGTTTCCGATACAAATAGACTATCGTAAGTAGGTGTATTTTCGTTTCTTCATCATTGTAAGATCTGTCTGACCAAGTCCAGCGCGCTTGTCATGTAAGTAGTAACGAGGAGGGAGTGACATTCATTCATCAGCCTGAAACAAACAAAATGTTTCCTTGAGGGACCCTTACTAACATCATCGCATGAATTGTCACTAAAACAGGCGAAAACGATGTCAAAGTGGTCAAATTCGAAACTAACCTCTAACAGAGATAGTGGGAATGTAGATAAGGATATCGAGTTCCTTCCAGTAGGAGAGAACGTCACTAAAGTGTTTCTTCTTCTTTTTCTTCGAGGGGAGGGTCTCGCTGCTGTACAATTCTATCTTCTTACCAAGGTACTTACACCTTTGCGTCTTTAAGACAGTTCATAGGAACAACTACATTCTGGACATTGTTGACGGCTTTTAGAAGAGAATCTATCCAGTCGTTAAGGGCAGTAGTAAAGAATTTCTCACTGGGTGCACGCGAGAAGCAATTCCAGTATAAATGTATAGGCCCCCTCGCATACGTTGTAAAGTATTGAAGGTGCGCACACCTAAATTGGCGTCCATGCAGACCATGTCTTGCCATCTGAAGCATCCATCTGAATGTAGCAAACGCAGAACTGAAGTCACTACTAAATTAGTTGGACGAGGGTAGACTCGACTTCATCGATGATAAGAAAATCAATAGGCTTGTTCTTAGAAAGAATAAGAATGCGGTGCAGGGACTCAACTCGAATGATCACACGAGGAAATTTAGATTAACTTATCTCGCTGGTTGTTATGTCTTTATACAAAGTTAAGTCAGAAAGTGCTTGTCGAAAAAGCGTCGTAGAGTTTTAGCCTTACCCAGACCCATTTTTCCCCTAAGAGAATCGACATAAGTATCAATGCTCTGGCCTGGGTCAATAACTGACCGTTGAATGCCATGAACACGAGCGCCAAAAGACCTTACCGAGTACTTTGCAGAAACTATAAAATTTTTTCCGATGTCAATATGATATTGATAAGATATCGTTAAAACACCAATATTGTAATCGTTTATATTCCTACATGAGACAGTTACCATTAAGTAACGGTAAAAATAATGGCGCATCACAGTTATCGTTACAATGTTATTATTACATTATTATACGAATCCTGAAGATATCACATTAGGATTTAATACAGTATATTTACAATGTCGCATAAATATCAAAACGATATATTAACAATTTTTTACTGAAAATTTATAATTTATTAAATATTTATATTATATTACAAATTATACCATTGTACTTAATTCTACTCAAAAGTTTAGTGTAAAACTATTCTATCCGCCTATAAATTGTTCTAATCGTCATACCTAAAAAATAATTGATAATACAATTGGATAAAATTTTACACATCTGAATCTATCTATAAATTATTATAAATTCGTCATATCAACTTTAAAAAGGGAAATTCTGATGGTAGGGAACCTGTCCGATAAAAAGTATTAAAAAATTATTTCAAAAACTAAATTTACAAAAAAAAAAAAAAAAATTTCTAAATTNAAGTTTTTTTTTAATTTTTTTTCAAAATTTTTTTAACAAAGCATGGGTAAGTTTATAAGCTAAAATGATTTATTTGAATAAGCACTATCAAATGATTATTTTTTTTTTATGTTACACAAAAATCACTTATTCTCAAATTTTTCCTATCATAATAAATTATCTGAACTTCAAACTTATGTAACACTAGCAAAATTTATTATTTTTTAATCTGACCCGATAAGTTTAAAAGCTTTTGATATGCTTTATTAAAATTATTGGTTAGAATTTTAAAATATTATTTTTTGCTAATGTGATATCTTTTTGAAAATGTCACATTATGACTATAAAATTAGGTCAGTTATAGAGGTACTGCACTGTAAAATGAAAAAAAAAGAAAATAAAAATAAATCTTACCAGAATTTCACGCGTTCCATTTAAAAAAAAAAAGAAACAGACAGTTCGTTATAAAACCCAAAAAAGGGATTGATAACTTACTCATCCAAAGAAAGATCTGAGTCATCTGACGTCTAAAAAATAAGAAAATTGAAAAAGTTTATTAAAAGTTTCATTAAAAGAGCAAATTTTAAAAATTTTGCCATTCCTACCGAATTTCCCACATGTTTTGAGAGTCAATCGTCTAAAAAAAAGAGAAAGAAGTAACTGTTCTTTGAAAGATAGATAAAAAATAAAATAAAACAAAATCCTGCGTCCAAAGAGCTGAAGAGCTGTCTTAATTAACTAATATTTCTCTTAAAGTTTGTTGAAAAAGAAAATCCAATATATACCCACACTACCATCATTTTTGAGATATTATGACTTACAATTAATTCATATTACGGAAGAGCACCAAAATATCCAAATAATATAAATTAAAAGTACATACACACATGAAAGGAAATGGTGGAAGATGGACGAATAAAAGAACAAAAGGAAGAGAAAGGACGAGGAAGTAAAAGGGAAGTAAAAGGACAGGTGAAAAAAGTGAAAAAAGATCAGTTATACTAGCAAATTGAACTGCGGCGGTTATTAATATTCTATTATCACATGATATCATGATGGCGAACTTGGTATCACCATCGGAGCTGAGGTTCCTACAAAAAGATAAAAAAAGTTAATACAAAAATGCTGAAACCGTTTTTTAAATAAATGTTTTGAATTTTGTTTTCAGAGAACTTGGAACTGAAGTTCTTACATTTTTTTTAATAAAAGTTTCAATTTTATTTCGATACTTACTTGATGTAGCTGCATTCCTACGAAAATAAAAATATAACGATAATATAAAAGTGTTTTTTTTAAATGAGTCCACGTTAGAATTGATTTCCTAAAAAAAAAAGTAAATAAAAGTTAACCTGCCAAATAAAAAAAAAATTATAAAAAATTTTTCATTGAAATACCTTCTGAAGTCCAAAAAAAAAAAATTAATTAAAAATTCATCATCCAGTAGTCAACTGAATCTGCAAAAAGAAATTAGAGGAACATAACAAAATGTTTTTTTTTTAAAAAAAAAATAAATAAATAAAAAAGTAAAGTTTCATGATGAAACTTTTTCTTTTCCAAACCATCCAAACTTACAAAAAAAAAGTTTGAAATTTCTATGATCTTTATGAAATTAATACATATCTGATATCTCAGTAATTGTTCGTCTAAACACTAAAATAAGCTGGGACCTAGTATATATAATAAAAAAAATCAATTATTTCAACCAGAATCTCACGTGTCCAGAGTCCAATCATCATCCATTGATTTATCGAAAGATACTTGGTCTTGATCTTTGAACGATGTCTTTATCTAATTAACAAGTTAGTTTGGCCTAAATCAACTTCACGATGCTCAACAATATTCCTAAGCTTAGAAAGGTACCTCATAGTCAATATCCTAAAAAAACAGAGGTAGCAAAATATTCCATAAAAAAATCATTTAAAAAACTCTTTCCATCAAAATCTCATCTCACACCGAAAAGTTTCCTAGAAAAGGAAAATCGAAATTTTGTAGAGTTCGTTGAAAAAAATCTTTGTTTTATTTACCGAAATTTATATTCAAAGTGATCCTTCAGTTGTCTAAAAAATGAAATATTTCATTAAAAGAATTAAATTCGAAAAAATATAGTTCCAATTTCCTCTTTCGTGCATCCAAGCCCATCTAAAAAAATGAAAAAAAAGATAAATTTAAAATATTTCATGTTTCGTTAGAATAAATAAATTAAAATAGAGAAAAAAAAACCTACTGAGAATGAAATCTTGCATGCCAAAAGAGACCTGAGGAACAATCTAAAAAAGAAAAAAAAAAAAAGAATTGTTAGTAATATTTCGTTAAAATAAATTTAAGAAAAAAATTTTTTTTTGAAAACTTACGTCCAGGAGCCGCCTAAAGGAAAAAAAATCAAAATTTTATAATATTTCATTATAGAATTTAATTTTTTTTTGTGGGTACTTTTCAACTCTTTTTTCAAACAAAATATGAAAGAAGGAAAGGAAGGGAAATAGGAATAACAGAAAGGAAAAGTGAGTTAAAAAAAAATATTTTTTTGAACGAGTGAAAGAGGTTTAAAAAAAGTTAATGAAAGTTTATTTTTAAAAAGAAAAAAGCGATTGAAAAGGGAGTTAAAAGAGTTAAAAAAGTTTATTATTATTAAAAAGAAAAAAGAGAGTGAGAGGGAAGTTAAAAAAGTTAAAAAAAGTTTATTTTAAAGAAAGAAAAAAAGCGAGTGAAAATGAGTTTATATTAAAGATCAAACTGGATATCACATGATATACTATAAATAGAGGCTTCTCCGAAATTTATTTTAATGTTAATTATATTAATTATATTAAGGTACATATTTAAAAAACATTAGTTATTAATTAATACATAAATATTAAACGAGAATATTAATATTTACAATAAGTTTTTTAAGATATTTTTTTGATATTTTTAAAATACTGTGACAATACCTATAATACGCTTTTTCTATGTATATTTTCAATGAATTAACAATATTATAAAAAGAATCGTTTTGATGCAGCCAAAATGTCATGTGAAATCTCGTTGTGATACTGGATTAACGTCAGAACAATTCGTTAAAAAAAAAGGATCGTCACGTTACCCTAAATTTATCTTACGTATGTTTTAGTAATAATGTAACGATACTGTCACGGGAATTTTTTATATAGTTATTCTTATATGATTTATTTTTTTATAGTATATTTTATTTATTTATTTATTTATTTATATTTAGTTTATTTTATTTTTATTTGATATAGTTTATTTATATAGTATAGTTTATTTTATTTATATAGTTTATTTATACAATTTATATATATAGTTTATAGGAAATGTGGCGTATGGCTTGGTGGGAATCAATTATGGCTGTGATGGGCGATTCGTACAATGGACGATTTGACCGGAAAACGAGTTGTACTTTGGACGATTTGAATAACGGGCGAGTTGGCCAAAGCACTAATCGTCCTAAATTTTGAATAATATTTAAGGGAAGAAATTCCGCTGAGGTTTCGGAGAAGTGATTTTTCGATTATTAACACTTAGATAGAACCTTGGGAATATTACAGAGCGCCGGCAGAGGCAGTAATATTAGGAAATTCTTTTGTAATTGTTAATAAAGAACCCTCCTATCACTCCAATTTTATACATTTCGTTATTGTTTTTATTGTCAATTTTATTTCCGATTGTTATACATTCAATAAATATACATTGTTTATAAATCTATTGCTAATTGTTGATAAACCCTACCCATTTCCTCACGATTTATTGCCGATTACTGCCTATTGTTAGTCAAATTCTATAAATTAACCCGTATATATTTCTGTTACTGCCCTCCCGAACTACACAAATCGGTGGTAACAATACCTTTCAAAAATTCAAGGTTTCTGCAAAGTAGTTTGTTAGCCAATAGATGAGCAGTGAGACGAAGGGACAAAACCGGGTGTATGGAAGTATTTCTCAGGAACAACGTTGGATCTTACAGTGGAATCCAAGTAGTCTTCCATTTTTTAAAAAAAATCGCATTACTTTAAAAGGACAAAGGTGGGAGGATGCGGAAAAAAGAAAGAATAATGTCCATGAATAACAATCATAGAGATATGTGCCTATTGATGTGGAAATGTTTAGTAGAGGAATGTTAAGGCGAGTAGTCCTCACGAGTAGCGTATTGTACATTGTACATCATTTATGACCAAGAATTTAACGGCAAAACAACGCTACAACAAGGTAAATAACTGAATAATATTCCTTCAAAGGGAACAATACGTCATCATTGTTATGTTTTGGGAACATAAAGAGGATGACGCAAATGATTAAAGAGTTATATGTTGCTGGGATACAAACGACAAAAAGTCCAACGCCCAGCCAGGATAATGCGCCATCATAGAAGCTAGTTATTTTCTAAGGGTAACAATAAATAAGCCAGTGCATCTACATCACTCCATTAGTTTTGCATTACAAGCATCAGGGAAGTTCTAATCGATTCCATGTACGATTGTTTTACAACAAGAACGACACCATCACCAGGATCGATAGAGACCATAATATTTTAAATTCCTGATTGGCGTAAAATATTGATCAAATGTTAGATGAAATGTTAATCTATATCATAAAAAATAAGACCTGCATTCACATCATTAGTGCAAATGAAGCAACATGACGTGAATTTATTTCGTTCGTATTGCTTCTTGTTTGTCCAGAATATGAGCTTCCCGGAAGTCGTAAGAAAAGGCTAATGGATTGGGCTATAAGATACGATTATTGTTGTTACCGATGCTAAAAGGAGGATATTTACTAATAGGGAGTTGGCCAGAATGCAAGCTTCGTGCGAAATAAGTTTTTGAGAATCCGATCGTTTTCGAGATTTAACGCCTTGTAACAGAAACTAATATAACAATCATGTTATCGTAGGAAGTAATATTGTGTGGATGCAATGTCAATACCGTAATCCTTCTCAACACTTTCCGTTTCATGCCTTAAACTCCGAAATAACCATCCGCCAACCTTTGAAAGATTCATCGTCAGCATAAAGAAGAGTATTTTCATCCAGGCCATGATTCGATTTCTTTGTGAACTTGACAATGACAATTTTTCTATTAACAGTTTCCGCTTTCCATGTCAAGTTCGTCGGTTCTTCGGCAAGTTTATAAAGATATGTAAACTTGATCTCATCCCCGTCAACTTGGTATTGATTACGGTAAGGAAAAAACCTTTGGATTTTTTCAGCATCGGTTTCATCTAACTCTCTCAAGTTTTTGTAATAGTTATTCAATGTTCTAAAAGCAAGGCGTAAAGATTCGAAAAAAATTGTAAGCTCATCTATCCTTTTTCCATCATCTTCGGGATGATCCAACATTAGAATGAAATCGGTAAGTGGTTCAACTACGGGCTTTTCGAGATATACAGCCCCAAGAACGCAAATCCAAGGCCCCGCAATGGCAAGAATAATAGATGGGCAACAAGAACTATTGCGAATCTTAATGGTCTGTTCGTGAAAATTAGACATGAATAAATGTATGGCATTATTAATGTGTTACAAAAAGAAACGCACCTGTGATTGAGCCCAATATTTTGCATATCCGCACCCTCCTTGGATTGAGGGATCTTTCCCTCCTGCACCGATTTCGTTTTTGTACTCCCATAAAATTGGGACAGCTTTCTCTCCGAGCACTACATTATCAGTTAGTAGCACATCGTCATCGATGGAACCATTATTAGTAACAATAGATATTGGTTGGATCCCATCAAATAATGATGTAAAGAATGGTCGGAGTGCTTTTTGTCGGAAACCTTCATTTTTATAGATTTGTCCCGCTCGGTTGCAAAAATCTTGAACCTGCATATATCGCTCAGCCGGAATACTTAAGCTATGGTTGCGATAATCGATGAGAAACTGACCGAATACAGGATGGAAAAGGGATACCGGTGGCCCACTACATTCTGGAGGTCGTAGATTATATATTTTTAACGGGTTTTTATTACACTTTACCCAGTTTCCTGGGCACGCGGAAGTTTATGGGCAAGACATCTCACATATCTCTTTAATATTTTCGTCTTTCTCTGTAATATGTGTAAATAATAAATTATGAGAGATACAAACGGAAATGAACATTTCATATAAACTAACCTTGAAGCAACCTTTGGCGCTTGGAGACAACATCGTTAGATTCCAACTTTGGCGAAACGTAATCTTCTATTTTAAATTTGTTATACTGTATTTTATCTCGTTCATTGTACTGTTTATTCTATAACTAATAGTACTTACCGGTGGTAGCAGGTTTGGTAGCAGCAGGCAATTTTATAATAAAATTAATATTAGTCTCGGCAATGTTATCAAAGCCACTGCAAATTTTTGTTGCAGGAATTATCAATTTCCTCTTAACTTCAATGTTATCAAGTGTGATAACATTTCCCTCAGCTTCCTCAAATGGAACATTAACTTTCCATATTTCGAGGTTTTTTGCTTTTACAGTGTCGGGGGCATTAATTTTATTTCTAATGGCATCTTTAAGATGTCCAATGGTCTTGCTATCTAAAATGTCTACAGGAAAGGCTGCCTCAAGAGGGTCTTCATTAATGAGACACCAAATCGTTATGACTGCCGGAGCTGATGATGATAAAGATTAGTAAGAATGCTGATATTGTCATACTATAAAAAATCATTTTAATCTTACGCTCTTCTGTGGCCTTCCGTTTTCTATTGGGCTCTAATTGTTATTAAAGTACAAGTAAACATATTGTATTTATTAACAAATAAAATACAGAAATACAGGTAAAATATGACTTACCAGTGTGTGCGAGTACCCGATTTTCTTTATCTCGTTTTCTAATGTCTTCAACGACATTCCCCCAATATGTTTTCGACCATCGTTCGGTACGTTCCAACTTTACCTGTTGTGGAGACAGTAATTTTAGTGCATACTTTTTATAAAGGAAGGTACATAGTTGATTCCTCCTCCAGAATCAACAGACCTTTACTAACAACAAAGTTAGGGTGCCCGAATTGAAGACTTGGTTGGATACCAAGCAAACAAACCCGGTAATTCTCCTGAGTCAGACTTTTTAATATGAAAGTGAACTAGGAGTTATCCTTCCTTTGCAAGAATGCACCTTTTCCTTTAATGCTCCAAATGCATTTTGATCCAAAAGTTCCTCAGAGACTTCAAGAAAATGTAAAGCCCAGTACCTATCAAGTTCATTACAACTCATTGAAGAAGATGATGATGATGAAACAATGTCATCATAATGTAGGTCCAAGAACCCACGATATGAAGCTTTATCGCTTTTCTTCCTTAGATAGGATATAAGGGCTAAAAATTGAAAGTTAGCAAGAAGTAGGAGGTTATGAAATACTATTTACAAAACTTACCTTCTTGGCCAGGGTAGTACTTTTCGGTTGATAATCGTGATTTCGCTAATTCTATAGAATTACTGTCCGCACTCATGTTGTTAGTAGATTTGAAATTTTCTCTTTTTTTTTGGAAAATAAAATGAAGAAGCAATGGAGCTATTTATATTTATTTTAGTTATTAAGCTATCTGTTTATCTGTTTAGTAAATCCCTATCACCAAAAATAAGCTTATACGCGCATGAAAGTCCGATAATAGGAATTAAGCTATCTGTAAGCTTATACGCGCATGAAAGTCCGATAGTAGGAATTAAGCTATCTGTAAGCTTATACGCGCCTGAAAGTCCGATAGTAGGAATTAAGCTATCTGTTTATCTGTTTAGTAACTCCCTATCACCGAAAATAAGCTTATACGCGCCTGAAGTAGAAAATTAAGCTACCTGTTTATCTGTTCAGTAAATCCCTGCCACCTTAAAGTCCGATAGTAGGTTTTTTCAGTCCAACCCATTATTAACACGAAAAACGAAATAAGCTGCCGCACCTGAAAATGGGCTTTATTATTTACCGACGCACATTAACGATGCACGCCACACGGATGAATTTGCACACACACAAAACATACATATTACACATTAAAAACGTAGCATACACTCGAGTTCAAAAATCAATCGAAAAACACTTATTATTATTTTCATGAGAAAGGGCCGGCCAGCTAAGCAAAATAAATGATAAAGCAGGGTTTCAAGAGAGAAATAAAGCATAAATGCCTGCCGGCTCTAAACCTCTTGCTAAGCGTGAACGACAGTTCCTTCCCCGCTACTTAGCGTTGTCTTTCTAAGCATCTATTTTTTCTAAAGTTTTCACTTTTAATATGATTTTCACACGGTAAAACCCTTTATCGTATCTTTTCCAATTACTCCCATCTCAAATCTAAGAATATCAACCGATACAACAGCATACATCTGATCTAAAGAGTAATTATTTGCACCCTTAATCCTATCAAAGATGCCCAAAAACTGTTCTCGGATTACAGAAATGATATTTGCGAATTTTTGGCTCGATCCTGCAATCAAAAAAATGTTATTCAAACCCCCTAGACCCCTACCCCATAAAGCATTGATTATCAAGAATTTATCTTACCAGAAGAACCAGAAGAATCGGAAAAGCTTAAAGATGAATTTTCAGATTCATTGGTCGAATTAACTTCAGCTGAGATTCATTGAACTAACTTTGTTGACCAAAATCGGATCTTTAAACTACTGCGTAATGTTGTTTTATTTTTTTTTAAGATCCTCGATAACAACATAAATCTGGATGTAAAGGATTTCTCTAGGAACTAATTCTATAGCGGATTTTCTGCGCATCAGATGTAGGGATTGGAATCGATTCTACAAAAATCGAATCAATCGAAAATCGAATCAGAGTCGATTTAATCGATTATCGAATCGAACCTATTTATTGTGGTGCAGTAGCATCAATTGACATTTTATTTATTAAAAATGATTTATCAATGATTTGTATATGATAGTATACTGCCATACTATCGATTTTAATTATCAAATCTCTATCTATTAGTGCCAAATAAATTTTTAAAAATATGGCGCGCCGATATAGACAGATTGGTATTTTTTAAATACCAACTTTTGCTATTTTTTTTAATACCAACTCTTCTAATTTAAAAATTAGCAGGTCTTTTTTATTCAATAGAAGATTGGTATTTTTTATTATCATCTTTTTTCGTTAGCAGATCTTTTTTCGTTAATAGAAACATTTGTATTTTCTATTATTAGCTCTGTTGATCTTATTTACATACCAGCAGGTCATTTTTGGTTAATAGACAGATTCGTATTTTTTAAATACCACATTTGCCGTTCTTTTTAATTTACTATTAGTTTCACATATCACATCCAAATATATGAGACAGGTTTGACGTAATGGGAAATATAAAACGAAGAACACATTTTGTTATCAGTATCTCTACTATTATAATATCATTATAATATCATTATAATATCTCACCAGTATTTCCCCAAACATCTTAAAAATTTTTTCCTTAAAGAAATACGTATGCCGTGTTTCGTTCACTAAAAAAACCATATCCGCTTGTCATTTACTAAGTTATCGAATTAATAATTGTCCCTATTTTTTTATCGAATACATTTACTAAACAATTATTCGTCTTTACCATTAAGAAATTATACAACTGTAATATGCTAAATCATACGGGGGTATTACCTTTTCCATATCAGCACCGGTTTCGAGATAATCTGTACTATGTTCTAACAATCATGAATATGTGCAAGAGTAAATAAGTTTCCAACAAAATATAGTATACTGCAAGGGTCGAATGTTATATATATCGTGGAAATTATAAATGTTGTTTGTAATTTCATCCAATTCTACTAATTTGTTTGAACTGTAACAAGTGCGAAATACTAGTATTAACCTTTTTTGTATTATAACTGCAATATTGAAAACCAATTCTACATCTTCGTTTATCTCAAATATAACATGCTGATCAAGTTGTAATAGATCCAAGAAATTCAAACAACAAATGACTATTTCCGAACAAACACTGAATTACTATTGTTTCAAGCTAGATAAACTAACGTATCTCATAGTCGAAGAAGTTTAGAGTCTTTGGAATAATATTCGAAGGATAATTTTTCTGTCGATCATGGAAGAAATATATAGCCGCATCTACATGTGTAACAGTTACATGTGCAACTGTGCCCCTGACTTTCACGGCAACATCTTACTTATTTGTGAATTGTTATTGTGGATCAAATAGGGATTTGGTTAGAACCAGATAGTTATTTCTGCGCACAAGACATATATTTTTTCCGTTTTAGTGAGATTCCGAGTTGTATAACAAAACGGGATAACGGAAGATAAGGATCCCTCGGAACTAAAAATAACATATATCCATTTATAGTTGGCGCTTGATATCCTCACCTATTTTGGGAATAACTGCTGACGTATTCTACTTATTATGTAAATAGTGCAACAAGGCTAAATATTTAAATAATGAAGAAATAGCAAACTAAATATATCCTGAAATACGAAAAACATCGACACTAAAAAAGATGTTTCAACGATGAAAGAGAAAGTTTCAACTATAAAAACGATATTTGACACCATATACAGATCACGCTATATAGTTAATGATATCAGGTGATCTTCATTTTAATAGTGATATTCCTTGTGATTGGTTGTTCTGCTAATTGTTCTATCCTGGAAAGGAAGGAAAATTTTACTAATTTGGTTAGCTCTTATGCGCTAAGTATAGGGTACGTTTTTTATATTATTGATATTGATATTGATATTGATATTGATATTGAATTGAAATTGAATTGAAATTGAATTGATATTGATATTGATATTGATATTGATATTGATATTGATATTGAGTTGATATTGAGTTCAATATTACGAACAATGGTTGTTTATATAAAAAAAAAAAAAATTGATCATGATCTGCAGCATGATCAAAATCCAAGAGATAACCATATATTGACATCAAGGAATTATGAATTGACTGGCCAAATATCTAAGAGTTAACTATATATTAACATCACGGAAATATTTATTATTCGTATACATTGTTCAGGAGGCTAATTTTTGTGATTATAATAGGAATTGAAGGTCAAAATATATATATATAAAAAAAAAATAGGGAAAATGTAATTGGCGACCCGGTAACCCTGATTATGTAATAAATTTATATTTTTTATTGGCTACACAAACATGATCATCGTGTCATCTGATAAATGTTTATTTGTTTATTAGATAACGATAATTTTTTTTTCCTTTTTTTTTATTGCAGTGCTATTTCGGCTTGAAAATGACTTTTTTTTAAGGCAATTTTTTTTGTTTTTTTTCGTTATTTTATTGTATTTAATGACTCTTTACTTTATTATTAACGCTAACTTTATTTTTTTCTTTAGATAATGGGATGGCTTCTTTTTATTTAATGTATGTCTTTCTTTATTACTTTTTATATCTTTCTGTTTTTATTACTTTTTCATTTTATTTGAAATAATACTAACCAGTCATTTCTTTGTTCCTTTTTTTATGGGTGGTGTTTTTGATTATTTTTTCTTCACTTTTTTTCGTCTTTCTATCGTTCTTTTCACTTCTTTTTTACC